AACTTGAGCCAAAAAGTGAAATAAATTATATTATTGAGGTCCATTTTCCAGTCCAAAGTTTTGCAAGAAATTTAAGCATCAGTAGATAGCACTTGTAGTAACACCTGAATAAATGTTTAACTTAACAAATCAATATCCTTTTAAAATATAAGGAAGGATTTTTTTATTATAAACATGTGAACTGTGAAATACTGTGTGTATATATATATATATATATATATATATATATATAAAGTTCAGACTATACAATTTTTATCAATTTATGCTGGTGGGGTAACTACAGTTAGGAGTGTCTGGAATCATGGGAATTACTGCAAGTGCAAAAAAGCTATACATATTTTCAGTTTCCCAAAGACAGTACATTTATTTAAAAGTTGCTTTAAATTTGAAATTGCATAGATATTTTGATTCGCTTTGTTGTTATGCTATGTAATGAACTTCTTTCTAGTATCTAAACACATCAGTACCTARTTCTATTTGCCAATCATGAATGGAAATGTTAGGAGCTGTATTCAAAACGGAATAGAATGTACAGTAAAATACTACTAAGATGCTCAGAGAAGGGAAATTCAGCTAAGGCTGCCACTCATTGGTGAGCACTGCAGCCTGGTATAAAGCTTTGGTTCTCTGAGTCAGTGTTTTTCTTTCCCTCTGAGTKCTGTGGTTGAGAAACCAGTCAGCAGCGCTGCATAAAAGCAGCAAGAAATCCTGGAATTATGCATGAGGGTGAAGTCTTTGCAGACCCAGTAGCAAGAATTTGATGAGTYTAGACTGCTCCATATCACATTGTGGCTGTCCTACATAACTGGGACTTAACTGCTCATTATGTGCTTCAATCTAGACATGAAAATACTGATTTCTTCCTTTTATATTTTAAGATGACTAAACCAATGTCAGTATAAATTAGAAATCTTTCTCCAACCCAGATCAGTTAAGAAAGGGGGGAGAATTTTTAGGTGACATGGTAAACAGGCTTTAAACAATAAATACCTGGATAGCAGAAGGTAACCACAGTATACTATGATGAGATATTCAGCAAACATGAAMAAAAGATTTAGCAAATTATAAAGTGATGTGAGGCAATTTTTTTTGAGAACACACTCATCTGCTTGTTCTTTTATAGATATTAATTCTATTAGAAAAGACTACTTAGAGGACTATTGCAATAGKAATCGGGTCAGAAAAGCATGATGCTGACTGAGGATTTTATTAAATTCAGAATGAAATGTTGGCTATTGAAAAACCAACAAGAACTATAAGGCATTAGGCGTTGGGAACAGTTGCATGTGTTTATGTAGAGTCATTGCTCCACAACATGATGGATCACTGGTTAAACCATAAGTGGTTCAGAGAGCTGGTGAAAGAATTCAAGCATTTTCTACATTATGGAATTTCAGGCAGAGCCCATTGAGAGTTATTGATCAAGCACTGCTATAACCATAAAAAATGCTCTCTCTCATGCTTGTAAAATAATAATAATTTAGGTTTATTCATTTCACAAGTAGAAGTTGTAGTGTGTAGGCTGATTAGTGTGGGTAAATTAAAATAGTTTCATGGTTTTAGATCATCACTTTTCAGTGCCTTTTGAATAGATCCCAAAACCTCAGAGAGTTTTGCATGGTTCCCACTTTTTGAGATCCCAACCATTTTTCTGCAGTGAACAAGGAAGGACCCCAACGTTCTCTTCTTAAATTATATCAAGGCACTTTTGTATTTAACGGAGCTACTGCAAAGGCACTGTTCATTCAAAGGGACATGGAAGACCAAGCCCTTTGGACTGCTGCTAGAAGCCAGAAAAGGAGACTTTGAGGTCCCCCATGGCATGGGAGATGGATGTGGGAACTGCAAGAAGCCAAGAGTGCAGGCAGTAGATGCCTTGGCTGGTCCCAGTGGGAAGAGGTAACCTGGGGTGCCAAGTGCCCCCCACAGCTCTGTGAGCATTCCCAGGGGGAGTGCTCAGCATCACAGCGTTCTGCCCAGAAAGCCAAGAAGCAGGAAAGTGAGAGGGGAGGAAAGTTAACTTGGTGCTCACTTTAAAAGTAATAAAGTTTGCAGTAAACACAGAATGTGTTGGAGTGTCCAGTGACATCTGACACTTGTTGGATGCTGGTAGTGAGTAGCAGATCATCCATCCCAGCCCTGGAAAAGCATCCTTGCACTTATGTCTGTTCAGYATGTCACTGAGGGCTGCCTGCCATCAAGCTTCAAAATTATAAATTAGATCAGAAGTTAGTGCTGCAATGGTATTTATAGGGGAATTTATCTTTTTTGGTCTAGCAAAAGCTAAAAGGATACAAGGCAGGCATCCAGCTTTCAAAAATGCATGAAATTCAGTGGTTTTATAGTGCTTTTAGAAAGGAAYGGATTTGAAGCAGAGAAAGCCATTACATATTCCCCAGTTGTGTTCATTCCTCTAAACAATCATTAAAAACAGGCCAAGTTGCTTTGGTTTTTTTTTTTTAAGGGAATGCTTTAGCTCTTCTGTATTATTAAGATTACTAATACAGGCTGCTGCTCTCTCAAAGAAAACAAGCAAATATTTTTTTCAGCTCTTCCCTGAGCTTCTTACAACAAGTGCTGGTGATCAATTAGCTAGTTCATTAAAAAGTTATACATTATTTTATTGAGGCAAGCAATTCTGAGTCAAAGAACCCAATTCACAGATCTAGGTTGAAGCACATAATTGGCATGTATTTTAGAATTGCTGTTAAAGCTATAAAATAGATTTACTAGGGAAGGAATGGATCCAAAAACCCTAAAGGAAGGAATATGTTATTTGTGTGACTCAGTGTTACAAATGGACTCATTTAATACTAAAGTCTTATCTACATTGAAACAAAAATCTGAAATAAATGTAAAGCTTCTTTGACTTAACTTCTTTAGCAAGAAGTTGTCCTTCATCTGATCAAACACAAATTATCTACAGGATTATTGCATTTCTTATGCCATTATTTTCATGATTGTTATCAGACATATTTTTATTAATTTAAATTTAGTTGAGAAGTTGCCAGTATGTAAACTGTAAAATAAAATTATATAACTATGTTCCCTGTGTAGTTGAGACCCACTGTGAGTCTRGGAATACAGCCCCACTTCTACAAACAGTTGTGCATGCAGGATTTAGTGGAGAACCTTACACATGTGCAAGTGGAATATTCCTGAGCATTTGCAGGGTGAATAAGAGCAAAGTGCATAATTCAAAAGATGTTTTAGAAACAGTGATTTTATTTTTTTTTTGAGTTTACAAGCAGACTAAATCTTGAAACTCAAGGAAAAGAGTTTGGGTTAAGGAAACTTTATTTTTAAATACTTGGACAAAGATGTTACTGGTGAGTTTTTGCAAGTTTCCTTTAAGAAAAATAAATCCATTTTTTATTTGGAGCCGAGATATATAAAGAATGAAGTCTTACATACATTAAAATGTGAGTCCAAACTATGTTCTGCTATAATTTGAATTGCTTGACTACCACAATGTAAAAGCTTCTGTAGCTGATATTGCTGTTGGATTTTGTGTGATGGCATTGAGGCATTTTTTCAGCTATTAGCCTTCCCAAGGGATCTTTTCAGACAAAATGTTATGCACCAGCTCTTATTTGAGTGCAAGCCTATTGAATAGCATTCTTCTCTCTGCCAACTTGGCAGCAAGTTCTTGTGCTAATAAAAGAGGTTACCCCAGATAGAGATCCCAGATGTGCCTGAACAACTTTTATTAGGACTATGGAGGGACTCAGTGTTTCCTTCTAACTGTTTTCAAAAAAGGTGTGGGCTTGCTTTCATAACTGCCCAAAGAATTGTGTCACTGCAATTCTTTTTCCTCAGATTGAACAAAATTTCAGATGTGTAAGCACAGAAATATYGATGTTCAGAACAATGTATGTCTTTTGCCACAGTACAAATGTTGATTTGACCCTACTGAATTCTGTGAGAGAGGAGAATATTGTTGTTTAATCTTGAGTTAAAAATACCTTGCTTGTTATCTCATATAAATGAGATTCAGCATCATGATCAGAATAAGTAACAATTGCTGTTTCTCAGAACAGCAGCATACCTGTGGCATCTGGTGTACTTGACTGTAATGTAAACTCCTATGTAGAATTATTATTGTACCTAGTGATAAAACAAATATAGTCATTGCCTGATGTGGGGCTGTTTTAGACTAGAATTGCCAACAGCAATATTTTTTTTAGTGCTATTTGGTAATTAGCAGTTTAAAAAGAAGTTATGCTGCTAAAAATTAATCTAAATATCTCCACTCTRTTTACTTGAATGTGCCAGCTGTGGTTTTAAAACTGAAAGAAATAGGATTCTCTAACTGACATACTTAGTATAATAATATAGTTTGTTAAACTCACTGTTGCTATCCATAAATCATAACTATAAGAAGTTTACAATCTTAAATCATATTCTTGATTTTCCTTTCGAGGCCACAAGCTTCATGTTGAAATTTTTATTGTCAAAATGTGAATAGAGAAAATAAGGTTTTAATTAGAATAATTCATTGCTTGCTTTTATTGTTCATATTTTTACTCAATTATGTAAAATGAATGGTGCTCCAACATCTGATCATGTCTCTGCTTGGTATTTATTGTAATTGTGTCGGATGTAAAAAAGAGCAACCCATGATAGTATTCCATTTCAGGTTTTCAAAAATGAGGTTTGACTCAAACACTCACATTAGTTTCAATGGGCTTTGGATCACGCACAGGGTTAACAGCTTATTTTTCAAACAACTAGAAAGAGGTGTAAATGTCAAAGGTGATAGCTATACTGTGAGTTCCATAAACTACAAAAAAAAAGTTACTACTAAAGCTCTATTTTTCCTTGGTTTAACAGCTTCTATGAAAACAGTGTTAATAAGTATATCAGGAACAGTATATAATAATGAATCAGAGATGTAAAAAAAAMCCCTTTAAAACTCCTTTTATATAATAATTGGAAAGTTAAAAGCAACTTAAAATCCCTGACTTCTCATGCTGTGATATAAATTGTATTTTTTTTAGGTTCCAAATTCAAAGAGGGAAAACTGATCCAACCAGTTACAAGAGCCTGGGGGACTGTTTCAGAACTATTTTCCAACGAGAAGGGTAAGAGTATATGTTTTTAAAATTGTCAATTTTATGTGACCTTTCTTAATCACCCATTTTCCAGACATTAGATCCTCTTTATATTCCACTCTTTTTTTTTGCAATTGCGAGAATTTGGCAAACGTAGTCTTACATAATGAGCACAATTTGAAATGTCTTGATTAGTCTTAATTAGACTCACAATGACAATTTCGGTTATTATAATATGTTAAAGAATGCACAGCTGTAAGAGACACTGTGCAAACCCTGCTTCAATACTGGGAACAGGATTTCTATATTTTCACTCTTGTGTCTTTTTGTCCTGGTTTTCCAAACTAGCTCAGGCTGAGCGAATCACTTGTTTACAAGGTCTGATGAACTGGCATTCCCAGTTACCTGCAGTCGACAATTTTTTCAGGACCTGTATAAGAAAAATCCTACAGCTTTTCAGTTTGGTAGAATATGGAAAAAGGAGTTGTGGTCATTAGTTACTTGAATCATACTGGCGTCATATGGTACCACTGCTCTCAGCCTGAGCTCCTCTGGGGGACTTGGGTTCTGATCCAGAAGGGCATTTAAATACAGGCTTAATTTTATGAGCAGTCCAGTTAAAGCCAGTGAATGTAATGGGATCAATCATATGCTTAAAGTTAAGCCTGTTATCCACAGGAGCTCTTTGGGAGCCAGCCTTTAATCAAGGTAACTCTAATTAGTAAATCCCAGGTTTGAATAGCTGGCAGGCTTTCCATGAACTTCTTTAATACAATAGCAAYCCAATTTTTTATCCATATATGACAGAATCAWTTTGGTTGGAGAAGACCTCTGAGATCATCGAGTCCAACCCATAGATCATGAGTCCAACCTATATATTTGTCTTGACCCACAACAATGTTCCTCRAAACTGAACTGTTCTTGTCAATGGAGGCAGCATAGGTGCAGTGAGACATTTCTTGCATCCACAAGCTGTACTGGAAAAACAGAGGTGACATGAGCAGTGAAAATTAATRACCAGACCACTTTTGTTTCTTGAAGTGAGATTTAGCTAAGCTATAGAGCATAAATACATCCACATGGAACCTGGTGATTTGAAATGAGAAAGCAGGAAGATTCAAAGGAGCTTCATTAAGGTGTTGAAAGAGGAAGTTGTCACAGCTGCCCTTATCAGTGGCAATTTCACTTTTGTTGAGAGGTCAATGTTGTGTATTGTCACTACAATAGATGCTAAAAAGCTTGGAAGCTGAAAAGATTCCACACAAATAATAATCTGTGGCTTCTGAGGTTTTCTAGGCTGAGTTTATGTTAATTTGTACTGCTGCTCTGAAGAAAAGTATTAAAGTATTAATATCTACAATGATGKAAAACTATTTTTAAATAGGAAACTAGTTTCAATATTTAAGTAAATGAGCATGAAAACAGTATCTCATCCCAAGTAACTAGTATTTTTCGTATCTGGAGAATGAGTCTAACATTAACAGCTTCCAAGTTAATTGATTATTCATTGTGGTTTTTTTTTTCCTATGGAATTCTTCTGCCTCAATGCTGGAACTAAATCAGAATGTTTTTATTGATGGTATGAAGTCATGAATGTGTGAGCAGGAAAAAGAAGATGATTGCATGGAAATATTATATATTTAAAACACATTTTAGCAGTGGATTGGACAAAACTTCCGTAGGGCTAGAGCTAATATAGAGTTTTACTTCCTTGTTTCAAAAGCAGTCAGTACTGATCTAAGCAAAAAGCAAATTTCACGAATACCTGTTTTTCTCCAGGAAGTTAGAAGGGGCAGAAATTCACATTTAAACAGACATCAGTAGTAAGCACTAGGAAAAAATKATATAAAAAATCTCAGAAAAACTATAATCCTAAATTTTGGACAAGAATAAGAAAAGAAATCAGTTAATCCTGAAAAACCTGTTTCGATCCATGACTCTTTCACTCCTGTCTGCACAAGTTGTCTGGTTTTCTGGAGCATGGTGATTATGACAATTGTGAAGGAAGTGAGGGGAGAATGTGAATTATTTTAGTTTGTGGAAATCTTTAATCCTGATAACACATTCCTTGTGTGACCACAAAAATATACAGAAGAGAGCCCCAAGAAAGGGCTTCACATTTAGATACTAAGCAAACAAAATCAATTTATGAGGTGTTCAGACTCAGGTGTGTAAATCTGTGAGGAGGGTATGAGAAATTAATTTATGCCCCATGTTTATTTCATAGTGGTAACAKGAAACAACCCTGATGGTATGTGGCATTTTCTGAAAATATGTGAATATCTAAACCTATAAAGAATTTAGGCATAATCTAAAGTAAAAAGGATTAAACTAAAGTAAAAAGAGTTTAGGAATCTTTCTCCAGCACTCTGAATTCCCTTCTGATATGTGTGATTTTATGTTAAATTGATTAAAATCTCCACACTAATTAAGGAGCACAGTGGGAAAAGAAGTGTTTCTGATGGCCTGTCCCTGAAAATGTTTACGTTTGGGAATATTGCTTATGCTGATTTTTACTTACATTTTTCAGTAGCAGYTATGGTAAGGTAGAATGTCAAATCCCAGTTCAGACAAGAYACTTCATAGTGCCTTCATTTTCTGACCTTGTTAAGTGTGCAGAATTAGCCTAGGAAGTACTTATTTTTATGAACACATATGCAATGCCTCCAACTGAAAATCTATAGTATTAGGCTATTACAGTATCACAGGGGCAATCTGGTGATTTCCTGGGAAGCTTCTTCATCACAAAGAAGCCAGAATTCTTTAACCACCCCTCTGATTTTGCTGTCATTACGCTGAAAAGGACAGAGGAAATCATTTCAGTATAACCACTGATAGAACAGTGTCCATTTCAAATAATCAGAAAACTCCTGTATCTTTACAAAACACTAAAAATCTTAAAAAAAAAAAAAACCACAGGAAAAGGTCCTACAAAAACTCCCTTCCCCCAAATTTTCAGCATCTCTGTAGCAGGAAATAAAATTTCGTCATGGGGAATTAAATTCTTTAAAGAAGGATTCATCCCTTGAACTCTTTTCTTGTCTTACAAGAAAATGGGAGCTACAAAACATAAAATTTAATTGAGACTCACTAAACGAAGGCTCAGTCGAGCAGAGCATTAAAGGTCACATAGTTTTCTTTTAAAGGGAGGCAGAACTATGAACTCCAGGGATTTTGTGAACTTGTTTTGGGAGCATCCAGTCACTACCATTTGCACAGGAGCTGCAGTGGTGTGGATCCTCTCAGGTGATGAGCAACCTCTGCTCAGCTGGATTTGCTGGGAGCCACRCAGTAAAGGTTCTCTGGCTTCACTTATGAGATGATGCATGAATTGACAGATCTTTGACAGTGAGGTAAACCCACCAGGAGCAYATCTGTTTATTGAGGAGCGACAGCTTTATAGCCAACATAAAAATAATCTGATGCTTACTGGGGAAAATGTTTGGATACAGGATTAACTTAAACCATTAATAGAGAAAACTTTTCATTCTCTTTAGATCCTACAAATAAGAGGTTAGATTGTGTAAGTGGCCAATTTTTATATCGTCATAATCTTTACTGCATTTGTATTCACTTGCTTTTTTTTTTTTTTTKACAGTGACTTAGGTTGGAATTTGAAATGTAAGAATAAACCARTGTTCTAGCCGAATGTGTATGTTGTATCTATATTAAAGACACATGGTGTTGTGTCTCATATTAAGAATGGAAAATTATGCCCATCTGCACYGTCTTAATCTGCAGTTACAGCATTAAAATGATGGATGCTTTTATTTCAAGTCTGTAAACAACTTTGTTCTTATAAACTTGGATTTTCATGGGCTCATAATTTTAACAGTAAATGTTCTGGGTTATAGTTAGTTTTGTTGGTAGGCACTCAGTCAAGAAACTGGTTGCTTTCTCATTTGTTAACTCTCCTGAAATAGGAGGATAGCAGTGTCCTGGATTCCAGTTTTATAATTCAGCACTTCAGTAAGTTACAGTTTAAAGTGCTTGTTAGSCTTTCTTAGAACTAGATGGTCCTGGGAAAGTGCAAAACACAATTGTTGTTCATGTGAGACTTCATTACTTCTGCTGAGTTGTTTGATTATTTATGTTTAATTTGCTTTGGGAAGGAGCAATTACCTCCACATTTACACAGTCCAATAGCTTTATAATTATTCCTGTCTTGTTCTCAGCACCACCTTACCACTCTCTTGCATCTATAATWGTCTGTATGACCACACACACCTTATTTTTAATAAGCAGCACCCTGACTCATGCATTGATGGGATTAGGTTATAAAGCAGCACAAAACTTGTCAGCTATGGGTGGAGTGTGTGGGAGAACAGCCAAGACTGAGCAGGAGCTGGATGAGTGCAATCATCAGCAAACACGCAGAACCTGGAGGGCTCCTGGTCTGTGTGATATCAGCGCTCATGCATCAGTCAAGGAATTTGCCAACACTCTCCTTTGTCTTGCCTCTATCCATCGACTGTGTGTCATGGTAACAAGTGCTTGAGAGGCTGCAGCAATGCTCTTGAGGCCTGGCTCTCCCACCTGGCTGCAGATGACACTGCTGCTGCTGAGTGCCAGCAGCTCAGGGAAGGAGACTGGCAGAGTACGCAGCCGTGTGACACTCACAGCAACATCACTGACCATTCCTGCYCCCAAAGAAGAGTTGCACAATATACAAATACTATCCTGTGCCTGAAACCTTCAATGAAATTTCCAAAAAGGAATGTGTGACATGGTCARTCATGCCAAAAATCTCTCTTCCCAGAGTGCATTTATAAAGGAGAGAGAAACTTCCAATTACTGGAGGCATAAATTCTTGTGGTATCAGAAGACCAGACTTTAGKCTCTGCTTTCAGTGCTCTGAGGCAAGCAGAAGCTGTAGATTAAGATGTTATTTCCCATGCACACACAGCTATGTGTCCCACTCCTTAGTTTCTTGTTAGCTCTTCAGACCAGGAGGAGCAGAAGTGAACTTGGACCCCTGCTTGCTTGCTGCATTCAGAATCTTACTGCTCAGTAGAGAGTCGCCTACACTG